TGGTACTGTGATACTCAAAAATAGTTACAGCTGTATCGGACTTCTGTTCCTGAACTGCATGCTTCAGAACTGGTCTTTATAACTCACTTATATCAAAAAGAGTTTATCCAACTTCTGCTTTATAAATTACATAGTTATCATTCCGGTAGAGCATCAGTGATAGAGAAAACTGCTTGCCAGAATGTTTTTTGGGAAGAAGAACATCTTCTAATTAGTATTCAACGCTTGTTTGATGCTTGCGTGCCATCTCTTCGGGACTATCCAAATGGTCGCCCGCTTTCTCAAAAGTACCACTTATTAATACGAGACGTTCACCGTTTGCCGGCAAAGCAATTGGCGAAATTCCACTTCTTCACATGGTCGCAGTAGTACTTCGCAAGCTGTTTATCTGGCGAGGGGGGACCATCAGTTACGGACTTAGAAATTATTTAATAGCGATTCATCTTGGTACTATTTTACAGCAATTCATCGTGGTACTCACGTCGAGCAGCTCCAGACGAAATCAGTGGTTTCCCAAGAGACGAATATCTGCAAACACCTGTCATGGTCGATTGTTTCATCTGTCAGAATGGCAATCTACAGGTTCACTAATTTGTTTCAGTCGCTATAAAGTATAGATCAGTTCGAATTTCACCAAACTGGTAATCTCTGCTTAGTAATGCTCAAATAACGGTGAAATGAAAGAGAAAATTTTTGCATATGCAATGATGCTAGCAGCTGCCAAGGGGCAATTGGTCATCCGCTATGGCTGAGAGTCACTCTGCGACCGAATCTAGAATCTCCTGTACGACTATGCACCAGTAACCCCCTTTTGCTCGCGGGCAACACACTGCCAAGTACTTCCGCTTCCATGCTAAAAGTTGAGATTATGACTTCGTCAGTGCGGCGATCAATCCATTTACAACTAAAATTCATTTGTTTTCATAGCAAATTGGTACGGACACATGCTAGGGATTCAAACCTGTCATCAGTTTGTTTCCAAGTAATTTTTGAAAAATGGAGCCATCAACAGCCTTTGCCAGCTGATGGTTCCTGTTAGCATTTGCTACCACTTGGAATACTTCTGCAAGTCTCTGTCTTTCATGGAGAATGAACACGAGAGAATTTTAACTTTGGTTTTTACATTTTGCCCAGCGAAAGACAGTCGCTGTAAAGGTTACGATAGCTGAACAAAGTTCTGGGCCATTGCTGCGCGAACAAACCTGCGCAAAAGTACTTCTTGTCAAAGCTAACATTCACACGCATTTTATCCTTTCCTGTAAGTATAAAATGAGCTGTCGACTATTCCACTGATGAATAGGTGATGAACTAGAAGCAGTTCCAAATATCAAATAAATAATCTTTTTATCCAAATCTCGGCTTATCCAATCCTCGCTGCTTTTTCGGGATGAAACCATCTTTAGGTCGGTCTGGTTGCTCGCTATCGAACACCACCAAGTCATTGGCGTTGGCAAGCTTGTTCGATGCTTCAGTGGATACATATGCGATTGATGCGACTCTTCTTCCTCACAATGGATGCGCAAGTTGATGTACTCGGCAAAGTTATCCTTTATATGACAACATTTCTCAGTTACCTCAGAGATCGTCTTGTGCTACGACCATATGCAAGGTCAGCTTTTCACGAACTGCCGTGCAAGTTTAGGCTTGTGTTGTTCATTATTAATTATTTCTAATTCCTTATTACAGTCCCATGACTGTGGCTAAACAGAAATTGAGTTTTCCCGCGGGTCAAATCATTTCACGAACTTCAGGAGACGAGCAACTAGGAAATTAATCTTTTTTTTTAAAATTAAGATTGAAAAGAGGGAAAGGAAATAGAGTGGTGTAATGGAAAAAATAGAATTATTGGAAATGGAAAGAAATGTTTAGGTCCACGAAGTCGTATATATTTCTTACCAGAGCCACAGCTGAATCTCTTCGGTAAAACGATTGTGGCAGCGTAGGAAAGTCTTCAGTTGTAGCAGTTGCGAAATCAAATTATGATTTGTAGCTGTTTCAAGAATCCCATATGAGCAATGCTTAATTAAGCGTGGAAGAAAGAAATATAAAACGGGACGAGTTTACACCCAGGTGCTTACACACAGGCAATAGTAGCAAATGGATCAGGCCAGAGTTGTGGAATGTAATCCAAAGCGTGGGACTTCAACAGCTCTGAGACACGGTCCTTTATCACACTGAGCCAATTTACTTCAGATTGGGTATACTGAACCTGAAATCCTGGAAGTGGATAGACTATTCCTATATGCTGAAAGATGTCCATTACGTGGACCAACTGACCGATCTCGCATCCGAAAGCGGACAAATCGTTTCTTTCATTTCACAGGTACAGTGTATTACAAATTCTTGTAAAGATAGAAACCACAATTACTTCTTAATATTGTTGTAACTATGGGAGTGATTAGGTACCCAACTTCACAAATGAAGAACCACAGCTATTGATTATCAGCTATTATAAATATTCCAGGTGTGACGACGACTACTTTACCCACAGAATCTAGTTAACGAACAGTACTAGACTAGTTTGAGTTTTTTCACAAAACAGAGAACAAAATGATTGGCCTTGCAGCTACAAGTCTAATACAATAAAATCTCAGATCTGCCCC